TATCAATAAAAAAGGATTTATTTATTGGCATCTTTCACATTCTATTCTATCAACTCTGTTCTTTTTTTTTTTTTCGAACTTGGGCAACTCTGTCCTTTTTCTATTCCATCCTCGTCCAATAGTACACAACTTGCATGCAACAGCTTTTAATGGGGCCTCCCACCTGTCATTAGGGTACATAAATTGTATACAATAATTTTTAATGAGGCTTCTCACTTATCATTAGGATAGATTTTATTTTTGTTAAATGTTTAATTTAGTTTTTAAATTATTACACGAGTTATTGATTTGATTCTTAAATTATTAAAATTTTTAATTTAATTTTTAAATTATTATACAAATTTTTTATTTGATCCTTACTAAGATAAATTGTTTTTTCTATTAACCTTCAAATATATACTATATTTTATTTTAGGTCTCATAAATAATCATACAATAAGATAAACTGTAATTATTTCTGTCAATAAAAAAGGATTTATTTATTGGCATCTTTCACATTCTATTCTATAAACTCTGTCCTCTTTTTTTTTTTGTGAACTTGGGCAGCTCTGCCCTTTTTCTGTTCCATCCTCATCCAATAGTACACAGCTTGCATGTAACAGCTTTTAATGGGGCCTCTCATCTGTCATTAGGGTACATAAGTTGCATACAATAATTTCTAATGGGGCTTCTCACTTATCATTAGGATAGATTTTTTTTTAGTTAAATTTTTAATTTAGCTTTTGAATTATTATACGGCTCATTGATTTGATTCTTAAATTATTAAAATTTTTAATTTGATTTTTAAATTATTGTATAAACTTATAATTTGATCCCTATTAAAATAAATTATTTTTTTTATTAACCTTCAAATATATACTATATTTTATTTTAAGTCTCATAAATAATCATACAATAAGATAAACTGTAATTATTTCTGTCAATAGAAAAGGATTTATTTATTGGCATCTTTCACATTCTATTCTATCAACTGTCTTTTTTTTTTTTTTTTTGAATTGGGCAACTCTGTCCTTTTTCTGTTCCATTCTCATCCAACAATACACAACTTGCATGCAACAGCTTTTAATGGGGCTTCTTATCTGTCACTAGGGTACACAAGTTGCATACAATCATTTTTAATGGGGCTTCTCACTTTTCATTAGGATAGATATTTTTTGGGTTAAATCTTTAATATAGTTTTTAAATTATTATAGGAGTCATTGATTTAATTCTTAAATTATTAAAAAATTTTATTTAATTTTTAAATTATTGTATGAACTTTTGATTTGATTCTTACTAAAATAAATTGTTTTTTCTAGGTTAAATACCCTTTTTGGTCCCTCTACTATAGGAAAAAGCCCCTTTTTAGTCCCTGTACCGAAAAAATCCCTTTTTTGGTCCTTACTGTTCACAAATCCGGCCCCT